TTAATATAATATTTAAATATATTCAAAATAAGATATCAAAAAGATACTCTTAACTACTTTTTCAGATTACATTTTAACAATAGCTTTAATATTTATTCTAAAAATAAATATTTATTGTTTTAATATTATTTTAATAATAAAAAACGTAAATAATATTAAATTAAATTATAAATGAGTATTAACTCATTTTTATTTATAGAATAAGAACTAAATTTCTATAACATTTATATACGAATATTTCATATTTGTAACTAAAAATTACACAAAATAATAATTATAATATAAATTAATCAACTTTATAAATTATAAACTAGATGAATTACATTTACAAAATAACAAAATACTACCATAAGATATTGAAAATGAAATAATTTTATATTTTAATATACATATCTAAATTAAAACATTAGGATTTAAAAATTAACATTTAATTATATGTAACTGATACACAAAATAATAATAAAAATTTTTTTTTCAAACCTCCAGCATTACATAATGATATAATTATAACAGATAAAGTCTTAAAATCATTTATATATATATATATATATAATTTATTATAAAATAAATATTAATAATAGCTACTATTATTGATATTTTTATGATTATAATTTTACGGGTTATTCTAATAAACAGACAAAATATTTATCAAATATAAAATTAATTTAACAAAATATAAAACATAATATAAGTTATGCTTGGAAATTCAAGTACCTATTGGGATATGGATCGAATATTTTGAATCAAAGCTAATTTATATCACATGTGTCATAATATGTAAGTAGACATATTTGTAAGTATGGATCAAATTCAAATATAACACGTCGGGTTTGGTTCTAATTTGTACACATCCTAAAACCGATAAAGTAACCATATATCGTTCGGATTCGGGTTATATTGGTTTGACAATCTAAAATCTAAAACCAAAAATGCAGTCATATAAAATTTTCGCCGAAAGATTATCCTGCATTTTTAAAAAAACTATGTTTGATGAAATTAAAGAACTAAACAAGTTTATCCCACATTTCTACATGTATAGGAGATGCGATTATATAAAGTTTGCATCAAACATAAACTCGCGCTTTGAAAGCGCGGGTCAAAATCTAGTCTTATATATTAAAACAGAAGTTATAATCTCAGTTCATGTGTGATTCTTTTTTAAAAATGGACCCTCACGAGATTGTTAGAATCTTATATCTTTTTTGTATCTGCATAATAAAATCTTAACAACATCTTTAATTTCCTTATTTACTCTATCAATATATAATTAACTTTTGTCTAATAATAAATATGGACACTGTATAAAAATCCTAAGCTATCGTACATTAATAGAAATGAGATTATAATAATAATATTAACATACTTTGCACTGTTTAATATCATACGATGTTAGCAAATTAAATATGTATGAACTCATAAATCATTCATCAATAAAGCTGTACATTTGCTGTGTATAGTTCTTCTTGCTTTATAATATGTGAGTCACTAATCCAGACATATGACAGAATATGATTTTACATGACGAAACTACAAATGTTAATGTAAATTTCCTATTTTTGGAATAACGCTAATTTGAGTTGAATGAAAAAGCCATTGTTCATTCTTTTAACCTGTATAGATAAAATTAAAGTATTTCACACATGTTGTAAACGACATATTTCACATACTATAGTCTTATTGATAATCAATAATAAATCACACATGGTAAATGGTTTTTCAGATTAATAAAGAGATAATTTTTTAAATTAGATTATTGATAATAGAATATGCCTAATAACTAAACAACGACAAACAATTTCTAAATCTAAATTTTATAGCCTCAATATATGCAAAATATTCAAAAATACATTGGAAGTTTGTTTGAATGGTATTTTTGGATATCTTAATAAAGTTACCTATTGATAAGTTAGATTATTAGAATTATTTTCTACAATATCAGCTAAATATTTTCTGAACTAATATGAAAATGGTTTATTATTAATATTCACATCAATCCCCATAATGAAAACAAATTTTGTGCTTAAAACGAGTTAAATAATTTAAGACCAAAATAGTTTTATTAAATTATTAAAGTTTAATAATACAAATTAAAGTGTCTCATGGAAATTAAATATATTAATGTATGTAAATAATATATATATATATATATATATATATATATATATATATATATATATATATATATATATATATATACGTTCAAAAATCTGTTCATATTTTGAAGATGTTTTTAAATGATATTAAATTTAAAACATAAACAATATATTACTAATGACGAATAAGACACGAATAGTCATTTATAGACTACATAATATATAACACAAAATTATAAAAAATCTAAAAATTAAAATTATATCTATACTATTAAATAGAAGTGATGAATTATTTTATATGTGATTTTTTAGTTTGACATTCTCTCAGAATTTTATAAAGATTTTTTTTTGAAACAAATAATATAAATGGGCAATTGTCTAATATACCACTTTCATGTTTATCTTAACCACTTTTAAGAGGTAATATGACACTTATAACCATAGGTTTAACTAATCTGGACATAGGATTTAAAAATGAAATTTAAAATTATAGTAAAAATGTAAATAAATAATTTAAAATATTTTATTTTTTTATAAAAATAGTGTCAAAAAGAAAAATTTTAAAAATAAATATAACAAAAAATCGAAAACATTAAAAAATTATAAGAAGATTGAACACGAAAACCTTTAATTCAAAAACTATAAAAATTATTTTTATTGTTTTTATTTGAATAATCATTTATAATATATATAAAGGAGGTATATAAGAGTCTTTTGCCTCTTAATGAAAAAAATATTTGTGAAAATATTCCATTTAATAAATGTAAATATGAATAGGGGTACCATCAATGTGGTAAAAAGGAAAATTCTCCATATAAAATCTGTGTAACTAATTTAATCATAATTTCTTTTGATATTTTCATTTTAAATATAAGTATATATATATATTAAAAATTATAACAAATTTTCTGATTTTTAAAAAAAGATCTCAATTTTCAAATTTTACGTAAATATTTTACTAATTTCGGAATTAATAATAAAATATTATTCTACATTTATTTATATTAAATTATCGTTATTAAATTAAAAATAAAAACTTTATAATTTTTGTATTTTATAATCACAATCTATCATATTAAAAATTATTATACTCAACTGAATATAATAAAATTTATTAAATTGACAAATTTCCACATTCTTTACTCAACAAAAACAAAATAAAAAAATATGATTGTTAGAATTAAAATTTATTTTATTTTCATAAATATATGTATTTATGTTAAAATACTATAATATGTTAGTAAAACGGGTTAACACAATAAACTATATTATATATGTATCCAAATTAACATATCAATTTTTGTATATACAAGAATTTTTTATATCTAAAATGAATAAACATTAAAAATTCCAAATACATATCTTTAATATGTTTTTCCATGTATATAATATATTGATTTGTTTAATAATCAAATGCAAATACAAAGATACATATATAATAAGAAGTGATAAATATACGTGACGGTTTGAAATAAGTGTTTAATTACGACATGTAAACTATAAAATTATCGTATTTGAAATATTAATATAAAATTTTAATATATGATTAATTTCAAATATATACACTAAGGATGTTAAATATATATTAAGAAATATATAAATGAAATCAAACACCCGCGCGGTTATGCAGGTCAAAATCTAGTTATTAAATTAAATCAAAAAGAATAAAATTACAAAAACGCATTTGTGATTTAATTTTCTCAGTTGATAAAGTAAGTTAAAAAATAACAGTGTCCCATTGTAAGGAAATTTTTTTTATTATACTTCATATTTCATGGCGCATGAGAACTCCAAGTATCTTTTAAAAGATTAGTGTCATAGGATGATACTTTGAAGATATGATATAATTAAGTGTTTTCCTTTACCATGTGCAGAAATACAAATTTTAAATTATATTTATAATAAATCTAATTATTTTTTTAGATTTTATTATTTGTTTACAGTATTTAATTTTAAATTTTAATTTAGTTATACATAAAAATTAAGAGAAACTCCATAGTTTAAATATATATATATATAACAATATCTAAATATGTATATATTTAAAATTATAATTTTTGGAAATACTTTTTGTTTATTTATTAATCAAATTCTATAAAATTAAGAGAAAATTTTGCTTAAGTATATAACAAATAATATTTCTAAAGTTTTAGATATTAAAAAAGAAACTAATAGCATTGGTATTAGAAAAATATAATTTTGAAAAAACTGCATAAAATATTAAAAAATTATTTTATTAAAAGTTATTTAATTATAAAACAAGAGAATTAAATAATATTTTGAAAACTATAAAATATTATTCTATTTTTATTTCTACTAATATATTATTATACTTTATTATTTTAATGATGATTATGAGTTATTATCATATTCCAAAGATTTATTAAAAATATAAATCAACATTAAATGTACATACTTTGTCATAAGTATCTTTAAGTGACATTATCATTATTAATATGTTATATCATCATTTTTCTTCAAAATCATTGTGATGATGAAACAAAACAAATCACTTCTCAAATAACGTCTAGGAAATATAATGTATTTTTGAGTGAATGTAATTCTGAAAAGGGTTAACCAACTTATGGTATTTAAAAAAAAACAATTCTACATGGTTTACCATAAAAATTTGTTTCAAGAAAATACATCTCATTAAATGGGTCTCCTCTCAGTTCCGACAACCTACGACCATCTCATTAAATGGGTCAACTCTATTACTACAGATTCTATTATGTGGGCCAACTCAAACTAAGGAGTCCACTAATTTCGTACATGACATCTGCAACCCTAACGAAACCTTCACTCTCTAAACCTCTTAATCATCCGCCGGAGAAAGTGATACATATTATTCAACTCCTGCAATCTTCATCTTTTCTTCTTCTTCTTTTCCTGAGTATACGAGAGCAAATGGAATCTGAGGGAGTGTTGCTATCACTGATCCACGAGCATCCTATGATGCCTTTCAATGATTTGAGGAGAGGTGATTGTTGTCGACGCTTTGAATCTCAGAGTGATGGTTACTATTGTAAAACCTGTGATTTTTTCGTGCACAAGAAATGTCGGGAAGAGATCTCTCAACTCATCAACCACCCATCTCATCCCGATCATACTCTCTGGCTTCGATATAAATCATGTAGCAGATGTGATTTATGTGGTATTACAAATGACAATCTATCCTATGTTTGTAAGATGTGCGACTTCGACTTGGATCTACACTGTGCCAAATACCCCCCACCAGATGTGATTGACAATTTCGAGACGCATCATCACAAGCTCACACTTGTCAAGCAGCTGACCAGGTTCGACTGTTCTGCTAAATGTGGGAAGATTGATGTTGGGTTTCCATACACATGCTGTGAATGTGATATCGATGTAGCATTCCATGTGTTTTGTGTATGGCACCCATCAGCAGAGCTAAGTTATTCCCCAGAGGTAAACCACCCTTCCCATTCCTTACATCCTCTTAAGCTCCTCACGGGTGATCCACCTGAGTATTCTGATGGAAGATGTCGTCTTTGTAGAAGAAAGATCGATAGAAAATTTTATCATTGTTCTTCTTGTAACTTCACCTTGGATTTACCTTGTGTTTTGAACCCGCCACCACAATCTCTTTTGGACTTGAAAGTTCATGATCATGAACTCACCCTTCTTCCAAGACTCGATTCTTTTACTTGTAATGCTTGCGGCCTCAAGGGAGATCGAAGCCCTTACGCGTGCTTTCATTGTGGTTTCATGATACATCAAGATTGTCTTCGCCTTCCACGCATCATTAACATCAATCGTCATCATCACCGTGTTTCTCGTACTTCGGTTCTTGGTGACGGTGCTATGAACTCTGTGTGCGGAGTTTGTCGTAAGAAAGTGGATTGGACTTGTGGTGGGTTTTCTTGTCAGAGGTGTCTTGGCTATGTTGTTCATTCTAAATGTGCTACCAGAGAAGATGTGTGGAATGGGGAAGAGCTCGAAGGAGTGCCTGAAGAAGAAGAAGAAGATATCGAACCATATATGGTGATAGATGAAAACACGATTCAACATTTCAGCCACAAAGAGCATTACCTAAGACGAATCCATGGGAATGGTATTGTTTATGAGGAGAACAAAAGATGCAGTGCATGCACCCATCCCATAGGTCTCCAGTCCTTTTATGGATGTATGGATTGTGATTTTTCTCTCCATCAGAGTTGTGCTGAATTTCCTAAAAGGATAAGGCATGTGCTACACAATGATCGGCTCACTTTAGTTACAAGCAAGGAGCTAGATTTCTTTACGTGCGATGCTTGCTACCGATGGTCCAATGGTTTCATGTATATCCATGAGACGGTAAAGTTAGATGTGTTGTGTGGCTCAATTTCTGAGCCATTTGTCCATCCAAGTCATCCCCAACATCCCTTATATTACATTCCAACAGAATTTGATGGGAAGTGCAATGGTTGTGACAGTTCGGAAAAACTCCTGAGGTGCATTGAAGGTGATTGTGGATTTGTATTGGGATTCAAATGTGCCACTCTACCACAAGTGGTAAAGCATAGAGTAGATGATCATCCTCTCTCACTATATTATGGTGAAGAAGAGGCAAGTGGTAAATACTGGTGTGACATTTGTGAGAAAGAAATCAATCCAAAAAACTGGTTCTACACGTGTAAAGATCAACAAGCTAGTTTGCATATAAGATGTGTGCGTGGAGACTTTTCCGGGCTCATGCCAAGAAGCATAGTAAAGTGGCGGGGCAAATCGTATGAAGTGATGCTCAATAATAGTGTAACTCGCCCATTTTGCAGCTACTGTAAGTCTCGTTGCATGTACCCTATCTACTTCAAGTTGCTAGGAACCTCAGCGACATATATGTGTGGTATTGTATGCACATATTCTGTGAGAACTAAATCTGTAGTGTAATAAAGTAGGCCATGGTGGCAAGATTTTTAATCGTTTCAGTATCTCACTTCCACTATGAGTTGATCTCTATAATGTACTTATCTTTTCTATAAGGTTTGTTTATAGCAAAAGAGCGACCTGCTTTCTTGAAAATCACTGTGATTGTAGTGAGTGACTGAGTGTTGTCGCAGATATCATCATTCATTTGAGTTGAAAGAAATTTTGTAGTATACATTGATGAATTTATCAAATCACATAAATTATGTAGCCTTCTTCGATCCAACAATGTAGAAGGAAATTTAAAGTTAGTTACAATGGAAATTGGAAATGTAGTATTTCATTTATTCTTGACACTAAGCGATCTATCTTTCCGGTGAGTTCCACTTATGAGTTAGAGTTCAATCCTTACCATCTAAAAGTACGTACTTGTAGCTTGAGAAGCCTTGGTGGGCGAGAAGAAAGATAGAAAGGAAAGAAGGTATGAAATCACTACTAGCAATTCTCAAAAGAACGACTAGGGGAAATCTCATGATTTTTTTCCCTTACAAAACTATCATAAAACTGTACAAGCATAAATAGAGCTTTCTTCGACTTTAGATCTCTCTTTCCCCTGATCTTAGGCTTCAGACAGATCTCCATTTTCTTGTGGGCTGTTGCGGATGTGAGTAGTTGTGGTTTAAGTGATATTAAGAGATTTGTACGATTATTATAGCGGTTAGAAATTTTTGCGTTTGCGGAATTATTATGAAAAGTTAACTACCAAATACAATAGTGATTAAATAATAAATTAACAAGATTTTTATTTCATGTAATTATAAAAATATTAATTATAATAAATTTTAAAATTATAGTATAAATTATAGTATTAAATTTTTAAAATTATAGAAAGAGAAATTCCCTAGGATGGATCTAAAAAGGTTTTTGTCACAAATATAGAACTTAAAAATAAAAATAATCAAAATAGACTTAAATGTTTTATAAAAAATAACTAAATATACATTTATACCCTTTGAGTTAACTAATCCTATACCTTTTTTTTTAGAGTTGAAGATTGGAGTTTTGGGATAGAATTTCAAATTTAAAAAAAAATAAAGAAAAAAATTTAAAATTTTCAAAATAAAAAATGTTATTTTGTTCATTTTAGTTTTTGAGGTCTATTTTTGTGATAAAAACTTATATATATTTGAGAGAATTTCCCAGAAAGAGAAATTCTAGAGGATAGGCCTAAAAAGTTTTTATAATACAAATTAAAATATAATATATACATATATATATATATATATATATATTTAGTATTTCTATTATTTCAGTTTAAAGTTTTAGTGAAATATTTTTTTGTATATTTCTACAGTTAAAATTATTTACTGTTCTGCAACAACTAACACTAGCTGAAACCAATTTTTGAATTTTAGAGATTTAGAGCGATATGAAGCGATTTGTTGCATTTAATATGATTGCTGTAAAATTTTAACAATTGCTATCAACCACAAAAAGCTATGTTTTTAGGTGGTAACAGAAAAATCAATCATGCCCTAAAAAGAATACACCTATCAGTTTTATTTGTCACATCTCCTATATATTATTTGAGAAAAATCCTATCTTAGATTCTTTAGAGAAATAGATTTGTGCATGGAAATATATACTATAATTTTCACTAAATTAATCATAAATTATTATTAATGTACAAAAATATTTTTTATTGTTTCCTTGAATAGAAACTATAGAATTATCTAATAGGATTAATATATAAAATATATATATATATATAATTATATATATATGATAACTAATGGTTTTGAATAAGAAATATTCATAACAGTTTTTTGCATCCTTCTTCATTTTTTGTTAAATTTTATATTATTAAAATAATTAAACAATCACATTGACCCAATACTAAAATTTAAGAATTTTTCTTATATGCTATATTTTGAATTTAAAAAAAAAAAACGACTATAAATTATTAAAATTGGTAAAAGTTTTACATTGAAAAACTTTGTGATCAGTGGTTTTATTTTTTTGGTATATAACAAGATACAAATGATCATAAAATTATATGAATATGGAATCTCGTTTAATAGATATTCAGATTATATATATATATAACTTTTAATATCATTTAAATTAAACTATATATCAGATAAAAAATACATAAGTTAGTTTAATTTTTTTTACTGAAAACGTATTAAGACCTTAATATATTAATTTTAAAATTTGTATTAAATTACTATTAAAATCCTACATTGAATTTTATTTTATTTTAATGGTTTAAAGTTTCTGTTATAGAAAATATACAAATATTTAATAAAAACATATGAGTAGAAAACCTTAATTAATAAATATTTATATTAAAATATACTATATATCTATGTCAATATATTTAAATATAATGATAAACCATAAGGAGGACATTTCTCCAAGATGTGTACTTCTTGCTTCGGAGCTCGTTAAGGATTATCATAAGGAGGACATTTCTCCAAGATGTGTCATGAAGATTGACATTTCTAAAGCGTTCGATTCTGTGCAATGGATGTTTGTGTTGAGATGTCTCAGTGCTTTGGGGTTCCCTAAGAGGTTCATTCACTGGATTGAATTGTGCATCACGAGTCCTTCTTTCTCTGTGCAAGTGAATGGGGATCTTGCTGCTTACTTTCAAAGTTTTAGGGTCTTCGCCAAGGTTGCTCTTTATCTCTCTATCTATTTGTGTTATGCATGAATGTTTTGTCGAACAAAATTGATAGATGTATGGAGGAGAGGAGATTTAAACTGCATCCAGGTTGTCAAAAGCTCTTGATTACCCATCTTTGTTTCGCGGATGATTTGATGGTTTTTTTTTTTAGGGTTCAAAGCAGTCTTATACAAGGTGCTTTATCTGTGTTTGATGAGTTTGAAGTATGGTCAGGTCTGAGCATAAGCGTAGAGAAATCTACTGTATATATGGCGGGTGTCTCTGAGATTGAAAAGAAGAGTATCTTGACCAACTTCAAGTTTGCGGAGGGAGACCTCCTTCTGAGATATTTGGGTTTGCCTCTCATTACTCAAAAAATGAAGAAGCAGGATTATTCTCCTCTTTTGGAAAAGATAAGACAAACTATTTGTTCCTGGACCTGCAAGTTTCTGTCTTATGCAGGCAGACTTCAGTTGCTAGCTTCGGTGATTACAAGCATTGTGAATTTTTGGGCTATGGTGTTTCGTTTGCCGTGTAGTTGTATTAAGGAAGTAGAACAAATTTGTTCAGCTTTCCTTTGGACCGGGCCTTTGCTGAAGTCCTCCAATGTCAAAGTTGCTTGGAAAGATATATGATGCACTAAGAGTGAAGGTGGTTTGGCGATCAGGAACTTGAGGGAAGTTAATAAAGTTTTTGGTCTTAAGCTGATTTGGAGAATGTTAACTGGGAAGTCTCTTTGGGGGAAATGGATTCATAACAATCTGCTGAAAGGTAAAAGTTTTTGGGAAGTTAATGAGAAGATGCATATTGGTTCTTGGATGTGGCATAAGATGCTTAAACTGCGTAGTATTGCTAAGCTTTTTTACAAAGTTGAAGTAGGCAATGGGAGGCATGTATATTTTTGCTTTGATAATTGGTCCGAAAAAGGAATTCTTATGGATCTAATGGGCTCTCGAGGGATTATTGAGTTGGGGATTGCAAAGAATGCTACCGTTGAGGAGGCAATGCTAAGTGTTTTTTTTTGAACGAACTACTTGGATTGATAAAGTTACTCTCCAACAGGGGAGGATACAAGAAGTCTTAACGCAGACTTAGCGAGAGAATCAGCTACAACATTGCCCAAACGGGGAACAAAATAAAACAAGATAGATTCAAACTTGCAACACAAGGTCCTAATATCAAACAGAATACTCTGAAGAAGCACCATTGAGTCAGAGGAGTGGAGCAGGTTGACGAGAGACTTCGAATCAGTGAAAACATTCAATTGAGAGAAATCATTAGCGACTGCATCAGTAAGAGCAGCCTTTACCGCGAGAGCTTCTGCCACTATGGGCGCAGCTACATGTCGACGGTTAGAAGAGCAATGCTAAGTGTTAGGAGGAGAAAAAGGCGTAGGATTAGCATGTTCAATGAGATAGAAGCAGAGTTGAATTGTCTACGAAGTAACCTTAATCTTGTAGAATGTGATAAAAGATTATGGAGGAGAGACTCGGTTTATAGGATGGAGTTTTCTACTCAGGAAACTTGGCAGTTACTGAGAGAGAAGAGGTCTCTTTGTAATTGGGCTTCTGGTATTTGGTTTGCTCAAGCAACTCCAAAATTTGCGTTTATGGCTTGGCTCTCTATACGTGATAGGTTGTCGACCATGGATAGAGTGGTGAAGTGGAGTCCGGGGAGTAAAGATATTTGTGTTCTCTGTAAGAGTACTTCAGAAACAAGGTCCCATTTTTTTTTTGAGTGTAGTATTTCTGCTCAAGTATGAGAGTTTATAGCTAAGGGGTTGCTGCGTCAGTCCTTTACTCTGGTTTGGGCTGAGTTAGTTTCGATCATTACAGATAAAGCCCGGGAGAAGAAAAGCTTGCTTTGTATTAGGTATGCCTTTCAAGCAGTCTTGTACGCTATATGGATAGAAAGGAATAAGATGAAACATGGGGAGAGGATGATGGACTTATCAGTATTGGAAAGAGTTATTGAGAAGGGGATACGTAACAGAATCACGTTGGTGCAGAGGAAAGGAGTTAGGGGAATGGAAGGGCTAATACAATTTTGGTTCCATACTAGAATGTAATTAGCATAAGTTCTTTGTTTTTTGATTTCGAGTAAGCAAGCTTATTGCAAAAAGTACACAATAATTGTAATTAGGCTTTTTGATGAATAAATTTAACATTCATTAAAAAAAATTAAGATAAAATAAATCTTTGAATATATATATATATATTTAACAACATATATATGTATATATTTAAAATTGTAGTTTTGGAAATACTTTTTATCTATATCATTTGGTTAAAATATATTAATCAAATTCTATAAAATTAAGAATTTTTTTTGTTTAGTTTTATACAAATTATATTTCTAAAATTTGTAGATATTAGAAAAGAAACTAATAGTATTGGTATTAGAAAATTATAATTTTTAAAAAGATGCATAATAATATTATTAATTGTTTTAATAAAATTTTATATAATTATAAATAAATAGAATTAAATAATATTATTCTATTTCTGTTTCGAC